TTTTTAAAAAGGAAAGTGTAAGCAGCTCCAACCATTTTCTAAAATATGTAGCCTTTTTCTACTGTTTTCATTTTTTTGTAAGTCATACAATAATAACTTTAATACCACGAATTAAAAACTTACTCCTGTGTAGAACATACTCTTACTTGCATGCTGCACATAGAATGAGTCAAGTCACAAACACTATACACATATTTTTTATTCATGTGCATGTTTGCTCTTATAATTGTTTGTTTGCTTATTTATTTTACCATTTCTGTACCTTGGATCCAGTTTGAAGATTTGGGCAGGGTACAACAAGTAAAAATATGAAGTCAAGTGGAACGAAGAAGCCAACTCTGCTCCCAAGATGAATGCCACAAAGCAATAAACTAAGATTAAAAGCCCAGTAGAATAAAGGGGTTTTAACCAGTTTACAAAACACTAAAAGGGAAGGGAGGTATCTGTTTCATTGAATATGGAATTTCAGGGCATAGGAGCCACAATAGAAAAGATCTGTTGCCTAGTCCATGTCCTCCCCCCACCCCCATCTATGCCATCTGGAATGCTCAGTAGGCTTTCCTGAGATATTCTTACAGGATGGGCAGATTCAATCTTGGGAAGGATGCAATCTGATACTATTCGGTACAAGACTTTTGTAGGTAGCATTTGAATTGGACCCAAAAACTTATTGGAAACTGATACTGGCTACTATGTTCTAAACTTCTGTATCTTCTTGAAAACTGCTGCAGATCCAGTGTTTAACAGTGACTCATGTGAGTGGTGATCGCAAAATGAATTCAGGGGATAAAGGGGGGAAAGTTAAGGAGATATTATATCCTGAACATAGTTGTCATTTTCAAAAGCTGGTGAAAGGCAGGGGTGGGAAAAGAAGATAATGAGAAGACTGGGGATGGAGACGTCAATAGGCAAACTCAGGTAAGGCTTTTACTTGGGCTAGCCAGATGCAGATGGCAGGGAAATAAGAATGGGTTGCACTACTTTAATCTTTTATATTAGCTTAGTATGTCATGAACATATCCTAAGCCATTGTTGGTCTATTTTAGCTTAGCACAAGATGTGAATGAAGTCGCAGAGACTTGTACACTTGGTTTATGGCTGGAGTCGACAACATTTTGATGGCTGCAGGCCAACACTGCAGGCCAACGTGGATGTAACAGCAAAACAAAATGTATGGTCCCCATCAAGCCAGGCTGAGATTTTTTTTCTTTTATAAAGAAGTTTAGGAATTTTGTTTGTAAACTACTGTATGTTCAGGCTAGTTCAAGACTTACACTAGTTGTTATGCATTTCCAAGCACAGAATGGCAGGAAACCCTGTTGCTTACATTCAGCAATTATGCTTTTGAATTTCAACAGCCTGGTCATTGAAAGCTCAGAGCTCATAACAATGGTATTCAGGTATTGTATGTGGAGCTACAACTGCACAGCTTATAACTTCAGTTTTAGCAGTTAAGTTTAATGGTTAAGTTTAGTGTGTGCAAACTGAGTCTATGGTTTGACACAACGTGTTACCCTTGCCATTATGGATACTATATCTGATAATCTTAAATAATCTCTCCAGAGAAATATGTGACATGAAGTCTATTTGCTTGCATGAACAAGCTTTGATCTTAGAGAGGAAGGGCTAGGAAGGAAGCTGGCTGTCAAGGAAAACCAATGTACACAAGTCTCAAAAGTTAACTTGAGTTAATGAGAACAAAGTGATGGGGCATGAGAACACTAACAACTTGAAATGTTTAGGGCTACTGTATCTGAGGTGTAAAAATCTGGGTGACATTTTTCTGTATTGCTTTGCCATCTTGTGGTTATCCATATTTTTCCAGCCAAGACATGGCAGCTCAGTGACAAGCTCAAAAACAAATAAGCAAGAAAAGGTTAGACATAGTGAGTGAACAATGAGTTTAAATCTTAGTGATATCCCACCAAAAATCTAGGGACAGGAATCCTGGTTGTTCTGGAACAATAGGCACATTTGAGATTTGAGTACATGACATGGGCATGGAGGGCTTCCCATTCTCAAAGAGCTGCCATACACAGTGTGGACAATCACAAAACTTTAATTTATCAAAAGCCGAATGGATAACATTGTTCCCTATCTTATTTTCTAGATTCCTATGCAACTTGGATTGAGCCCCAGTTTATTTTTATCTCCTGGGTAAGTTGCATATTTACAAACAAAGCACTGACTTGCCACTTTTAATTTCCAAGAATGCCTGTAGCTCTTATGCGGAAACACTATATTTCTTCTTAGAAATATGACATTGAACATTAGTGCTTGGATTTGTAGCATATCTATATTCTTATATTTGATTAAAATTTAAAAAGAGGGTTTTTTAAAAAAAAATTCCAAGTACAGAGTCTGGAGGTTGCAAGGAAGTATCTGCATGTACACTGATGCTTATAGATACAATATTGGGGATATTAGATCTATGAAACATTTTTTACTTTAATAATTCTTATTTGAGAAACTTGATGGATGTGAGCTTTCCCTATTTTAGTCTCAAACCTAAGAATAGACCTGCTGCATCAGGCTAAGCCAATCCCAGTTCATAAATGGATTCAATAATCCCTGTTTAAAGGTCTCCCAGTATTGTAGATAGCAACACATATTTGTGATCAAGCAGTATTATGTATCTAGGTGCAATGGTCATAATGCTAAATTAAAACAGCATTGTCCACCCCTCTTTTAGTTGATAGAAAACAATAGCAATTCCAGCATGAAATTTCCTGCCCATATTGTCAATCCTGCTGATACTATATCTATTCAGAATCTCTTCTGCGATGCTATTAAATTAAGTTGTCCTGATTAGAGCATGTTAGGCTAAGCAACTATTTGACTCTAGATTTACTGCTCTCCCTCTCTAGCATGTTATCTGCCAATGGGAACACCATTAGCCAATCATGATACTGGAGCAGGAATAGGGAAAATTTGACTTTAGGAATCTATCTGGCATTTCTAGACTCTTATTTCTCCTTTTTCTAGACCCCATTCTGTCATAATGCTACTTAAATTATGTGTGGCAAAAAGGGGGAATACTGAACTAAGTTGCTAGTACGTGTTTTGCAAGGGAGGGGACACTTTTATTTAGGATTTTTCTATATGGTCACCTATCACCAATTTGTGGATTCATCTGTCTTATCCTGAAGGCCCCCAGGTTGGCCCCAGCCTTTCAGTGTTACACAACTTCAGTCTGTTATCTTATTTCAGATGCCATAACATTATGTTCTATGAGTGATAGAAGTTAATCAGCATCAGTCTGAAACACCAATAGATGCTTCCATGATTGGTTACTTGACTTTATCTCCAATGTCAAAGTGACAAAATCTAACAGATTTTATACACCCTGAAGCTATCACTGGATAGAATTCAGAATAAGGAAGAAAATACTAATTTAACACCAGTACAGCTAAGGATGTTCTAAGCCTGTCTCATTCATAGATTGGGAATGGAAAGAAGGCAACATCTTGATGACAAATGGAAAAGTGCTATTGTCAAGGACTGATTGTGTTGTGGTTCAGTGCAAGTGGCGGACATAGCCATAATAATTTTGAAATTCTATACAAGTCTTACCTACCTCTTTCATTTATCAACATTCCCTGTACTTGGAGAAACTACTTTTGGCAACAATTCTTTCCAAGATGAATGAGATCTATTTGTAGACTGTTGATAAATGGTTTAACTAACGGCAGCAGCTTTTTATTGTCGAGCAGTACCTGGTTCTTACTAAACATGTTGAATTAAAAATCCCATAAACACCAGCTAGTTTTCGGCTAGCGATGTAAGCTTGCAGTTTTAAATGGTTTCTTAAACATGCTAAATAGATGTCACATACCTTCCAAATAATCACTAGCACAAGAATATCGCTGGTGATATGCAGGGATTATTGACGGATGAATATGAAGCATACTCAGGTTGTACAACACCATACCTGGAGTCACCAAGACATGGCAAAGCAGAAACAGAGCAGTGTAGAGATCAGCATATTCTGAAATATTTTTCAGGCACCTTCATTGCTCTATGATGTCTATGGTGTTGACGATTGAAGCACAGTGAGACTGAATTAATTCACCTCTCCCTCATCTTACATGCTTCGCATACTTGTCTGCTTAATTTATTCCTGACCCCCAAACCCCAGACAGTCTGACCTTCTCGTCTTTGTTATCCTTCCTTGTAAAATCCTTTTTATGAGGAGGGAAGCACTTCAAGAGGGTTGAGAGTTTACTTATTTTTCATTGGGTGGGAGAGGGGAGAGACCGAGCAGCTGAATCAGAAAGTCGGTCGAAGATGATCTGCCTGAAATTAACGTCGTTTGGCTAACTCAGTTCTTGCAACTGATTGCAACGCTGCTTTATAGCTGGGTGAGAAAAGTTTTTGATTTTCCTTGTCTTTCCCCCTCCCTCCCTCCCTCCCTCCCCCCTCCCTCCCATGGACCCTACATTCTTGCTTCCAGAACATCAAAAAGGGCAAACACAAGAGTTATTTGTTAGCAAAGAAGCTGCTATCAAGAGCCGCTTCTTTGTTTTTGGGATTGATGCAGTGATTGCCTACCAGTTCGGGGGAGAGTGGCTTAAACTTAATCATATTCACATGACAAACCATAAATAAAGGAAAAACGAATACTGCAAAAAAAAAAGAACCTCTCAGAAGTCGGAGCGAGCAGCTTGTCCACAGTTACAGGGAGGGGGAGGGAGGGAGGGAAGGCGAGAGAAGCTGTCAGACTTAGGGGAGGGCGCAGCTTTTCCTCAGACGTTGAGTTTTTAACCCCATTGGAGACGCCGGTCCGGGTAAGGAGGCAAAAAGGCTGTTGGATAGCTTGCAACAAAGGCTCGGGACTTCCCCTCTTGGCGTCTCTCAGGCTTTGAGGCGCATTCAATCCTCCGCAGGAAACAGGTTTTCCTCTTTTGCGGCTGCCACCCCCACCCCCCACCCCACCCCTTCCCCAATCGCACAGCCAAGGAACCTCATGCTCTGTGCAGAGCGACAGCCCAGGAGGCAGGATGGTTCCGCGGGATCGGCGAGGCGCTAATCAGGTATGGTCACCGGATCGCGGCCGTGTTTTCCACCTCTTGGTGGTTTCCCTGGTGCTCCCGGCGCTCGGGCGTGGGCTGAAGGTGCAGCACAAGTTCGTCTCGCCCACCGCCACGAACAACTTCGCCCTGGATGGGTCGGGCGGCAGGATTTACCTGGCGGCGGTCAACCGGCTCTATCAACTCTCGGCCCCCAACCTGACTCTGGAAGTGGAAGAGCCGATGGGCCCCGAAGAGGACAACCCCTTGTGCCACGCTCCCCAGCTGCCCCAGGCGTCCTGCGAGCACGCCAAGAAGCCGACGGACAACTACAATAAGCTGCTGCAGCCGGACCCGGAGCAAGGCATCCTGGTGGTCTGCGGCTCGGTCTACCAAGGCTTCTGCCAGCTGCGGAGCATGGACAACATCTCGGTGGTGGCCGTGCCTTTCCCACCTCGGACAGGTGGGGGAGAAGGGGGCGACCAGGTCACGGTCTTCCCCAGCATGCTGAACGTGGCGGCCAACCACGCCAACGCCTCCACCGTCGGCTTGGTGCTCAAGCAGTCCGGGCAAGACACGAGGCTCTTGGTGGCCGCCACCTACACGGGCTTGGGCAGCCCGTTTTTCCCGCGCAACGCCAGCCTGGAAGACCACCGCTTCGAGAACACGCCCGAGATCGCCATTCGGGCTCTCAACGCCCGCGGGGACCTGTCCCGGCTCTTCACTTTCGACATCAACCCGTCCGATGACAACATCTTCAAGATCAAGCAGGGCGCCAAGGACCGGCACAAGCTCAGCTTCGTCCGCGCCTTCCTCCACCGGGGAAGTCAAGGCGCGGCGCCCTCTCGCCCGGAAGGGGGCGCCTCCGGAGGCCGGAGTTCTCAGGCGGGACCCGGGGCCCCCTATTCGTCCCGGGGTGCCCAAGCTGCCAAGCCCGGGCGCGCACCGGGCGCTTTCCCGCCTTTGTCTCAGGGCACCCCGCTTAGCCGCCCGTCGGCCTCCTACGCTTACTTGGCCCTCAACAGCGAGGCGAATGCGCGAGAAAAGGAGAGTCACTCGCACAGCCTCTTGGCTCGCATCTGCTTGGGGGACCCGGCCGAGGCGACCCCTCTCAATAGCAGCGGCGGCGGCGGCGGCGAGACCAAAAAGTTGACCGAGTCTTACATTCAAATGGTGCTGCAATGTAGCCACCCCGGAGCCGGCGGGGTTACGCCGGGAGTCGCCACCGGGGACCTCTTCAACAGGCTGGTCTCCGTGTTTCCCGCTCGCGCCGCCCTGCAGGTGGATCCCGGGAGTCCTCCTTCGGCCCAGCCGGAGGAGCTGCTCTTCGGGGTGTTTGAAAAAGCTGCCTCCCCGGGTCCCGGGCCTGGCGGTCGACAAACTCCGCAGCCCTCGGCGCTCTGCGTCTTCCGCTTCGCGGAGATCGAGGACGCTATCAGGGTGGCCAGAAACTCGTGCTTCGTAGCGCCGGACGCCGACCTGGTCACTGTGCTGGACAGCGTCGTGCAAGGGACCGGGCCTGCCTGCGAGAAGAGGAAAATCCAGGTAAAGGAGAGCTGGGGGGTGGGGGGGGGGAAAGGGTAGAAAAGCCTGCTTGTGATCTGGGGTTGCTTTTCACTAAAGTAACGAAGGACAGATTGACCAGAGTGGAGTCCTGAGGCTGATGCTTGACCTTTGTGATGCGTTGGCTGGGTGTGTGCATCAGGCTAAATAGTGTGAATGGATTGGTTTTTAGGGTTGCCAGGTCTGCTTCCAAAAAATAGCGGACAAGCGGGAGGGGGGTTAAGTAGTAAAAAAAAGTAGACAGTACAGCTTTAGATTACGTACCATTTCGTCATAAAACTTTTGAATGAAAAAAAATGTCCACTATTTTGTGAAAAAAAATAGTGAACATAATGTGAAAAAAGCGGACTGTCCACTCAAATAGTGGACACCTGGCAACCCTATAATGGTTTTGCCTAAGTGAACATGCTGGTGTGGTTTATAAATCGTGGTCTGTGGTTTGTATGTCCCAATCCAGTAGTTTATTCAGTAAATAAATAAATTAGGCAAACCATGGCTTAGTGCAAACCAGGCACTTTCTGGAAAGTACTTAGGGCAACCATTGGTAATGAATCTGAAAATAGGACTAAGGATTTTGGGAAATCCTCCAAAAGTGATGAACTTCCTTTGGAGACTGGAAGATAACTGAATAAATATGGAAGACCCTAAGTTGGGAAAGGGTAGATTAAACCTCCAAGGCAAGCTTCTGGCCTAGTACTACTGTTTTAGAGTCAAAGAATCAGATCTCCAAGTTTTAGGAAGCTAGCCTTTGGATGAGTTATGGGAAAAATTTTCCAAAGGAAAAATTGTGTTGGCCTTTGATTTAAAAAAAACAACAACCTAAGAGTAAACTGTTAACTTTTTGAATCATAGTCTACAATATTTATTAATGTGCTTCTTTGATCTTGAGGTGCCACAAGGTGCTTTGTTATTTCGGAAAGCTCTGTGGTTATCTCCTAAAGTTATATTAGAGACTTACCTGATCATAAGACCAGAACTGAAAAAAACATACAGAAGAGGGCAGCCAAAGCAATCAAAGTATTGAAACATCTTCCATCTGGAGCAAGCAGTTTAGAGAAAAGATTGGGATCACAATAGAATTGTGCTTAGTGTGGAAAAATATTTGCATTTCATTTTTGGTCATGGAAAACAACACAGGACTGAAAAAAAGAGGGTTATTAAGCAGTAGGTAATTTTTAAGTGGTTGGATGTCATAGATAGCACCAATACTATCTATGACATGGGTGTCAAACTCGCCGCGTCACATGTCGTGGTGTATCGTGACTTTTTTCACATTGCTGGAGCTGGGGTGGACACAGCCTCCACATGATGCAACCGGCCCGTGGGCCGGCAGTTTGACACCCCTGATCTATGATGTTTTAAAGACATTATTACAGACTTTTTTCAGAGAATGAATCTAAGAGAGAACTCCATGTTCAAAGTAAGCTACCCACAGACACTTTGAATAGTGAGATGGGTAGTATATAAATTAAGTAAATAACTATTGAGACTTGAGGCTTGAAGGATACCTGGTGCTTTCAGGACCTGCTTATGAACTACCAGAATGTATCTGCCTGATTATATGCTAGTTTACTGTAATGTAAATATTGGGAAGTTTTGGCTCAACTGATATTGATGACTGATGACAGCTGCTCCCAGCAGCCTGACAATGGTAGTCAGTGGTGAGGGATGCTGCAATTATAATTTAGCAACATTTGGAGAACCACAGTTTTGTTATCTTTGTCTTAAGGCCATGTTAAGTATTTACAAAATGCATATTACCCTGTGTAAATATTTATCACAAGTATTTTGGGGTGTTTTATTTAGTTCATGAAAGCCAGTGTCACGTATTGGTGAAAGTATTAGGCTAGGATTGGGAAGCTTAAGAGCTAGACCTGTTAGATGTCAGTTCTCATTGTTTCTTCTCAGCAGCTGATATTTAAGGCTTGCTGCATATAATTCAGACATAATATTCAGCTATCGAGGCTTTAACTCTACAGGTTATAAAACTGTCTTCCATGCACTTCATCTAGTTTTGTTTTAAAGCCAATTGAGTTGGTGACCCTTACCATAGTTAATGCCAACAAATACTATAATACAGTTTTGCATTGTTTAACGTGTTTCCATTTATTAGTGCTAAATAGCTCTGCATTTAGTTTTAATAGCATTTAATACTAACATTATGAAAAAGAGAGAAAAAAGTCTATTTTATGCATGAATAATTTTATATTAATTTGGCATCTTTCCCCAAATCACTTTTGTTCTCTTAATCTCCAAATATTTCTTCCTTGCAGGGATGTGTTCCAGCTCCACAATATATTTTTACAGTCATAGATTTATAGAATGGCACCACAGATATGCAATCTCCTTATTATTCTCTGTGTGGAATTCACTTTCTTTCTTTTGCAGAAGTTACTTTGGATTGAAATTTTCATTGAGATATCCTCCATTATTCCATGATTATTGCTGTCAGTCACTACATACTAGGTCCCATTAATGTACACATAAATGTTGTGTTTATTGCACCAACACAATCACGTTGCACATTGAATTATATTTGCCATTTTAAGACTCATTGATCTAGGAGAGACCATTGTGGAATTCATTGCAAACCCTTTTTCATTTTACATCCTGAATAAATTATCATTACAGTGCAAGCTCAGTTGATTATCTTATTGTATTTCCCTAAATTATCACTTATATTTTTTTAAGTTCCAAAATTCACTTTGGATATCTCTTCAGTGTGAAATTGTCCATTTAACTGTATTGTAATTTAGCAAGTTACCAACTAATGATTCCACCTGTTCTCTTAATACAGAGTTTTGTCAGCAGCTTTTGATGGTGGAATTTATTAAAGGCTTTCTGAAAGTTGTAATTGATTGATTTGATTGTGTGCCATCAAGTTGTTGTCAACTCTTAGTGACCACATCGATTTTTTCCATGATAATGTATCCCTAACCTGATCTTTAAGGGCTTCAAACAGACAAATTGTAATAGTACTGGTTTAAACATAGATCATAAATAAATTAAAATCTATGCAAAGCTGATTAATTTAAAAACTACACCTCTATATAAATGATCTGAGATGGTCTCACCTTTAGAGAGCAGTGCCAAAAGGATCAAGATATTTCTCCAAAAGGTTTAGGCTACTGTATTTATTTAATGATACTGACCAAAAAGTTGGCATGTCTTCCAGCAGCTGTTTGAGCAAAGATTGTGGCAGTTTAGGGAACATATTGTTAGAGGGAATTAGGACCCACATTTTGGGGTATTGGAGGCCTGTTCCCCTTTAGGATTTAAATAAAACACCAAAGAGATTAGAAAAGATAGCGGATAAACGTTCTCTAGGACATTGCTCCTCATCACAAAAGCACAGGCAACAGTTATGGTAAACCTTGTGCTGTTGTTTGTTGCATTCTTAGTTATGTCAAGGCACTTTTGATAAACAAGGAAGGGTTCTGTTTTGCTTGCTTTTCATCATAGCATACAATTGAGTAATAATATTATCCATACACAAATCAAATTACCTGTCTGCAGTGTGTACCCTGAATTTATTTACATGTCTTGCTGTAAAATGATGTAGAATGGGGAAAGGATCTAATAGAAAATTTAAAACTGACACCCTTAATTCTGGAGCCGTGTATACCTTTTATATGCATATCCTTCATCTGCTATAAAAGATAGAATTTCTGGAGAAGATCACAATCTAAGCTATAAATTTTCCATACTTATAGCAGCACTGGATTTGGCAGGAAAGTTCAAGCATATAATATCTGTTAGAATAATGCTGCTTGTATGCTCGTTGACAAATTTTAAAAAGTGTACAAGATTGATGAGATAGGATTTGCATGTTAGTTCCTATTTAACAGAAATTGTCTTATATATGTATGCTTTATTAGGGTAGCTATAGATCTGGGTTGAGAACCACTAGTTGGTAATGAAAGATATATAGGAAAGTCTAGCTGACAATTAACTAGTGGTCGGTCACCCAGATTTTTGCAGTCCAGATTTGGTAATTCTGCTTGATTTATGATTCTGTAATACCATAATGTTTTCTACCATTTTATCTGGAAGTTAATTGACCTGTACAGGTAGTCCTTGACTTACAACAGTTCATTTAGTGACCATTTGAAGTTACAATAGCACTGAAAAGTGACTTATGACCATTTTTCATACTTACAACGGTTGCAGCATCCCCCGTGGTCACGTGATCAAAATTCAGACGCTAGGCAACTGACTCATGATGATTGCAGTCTCCTGGGGTCACGTGATCACCTTCTTTGTGACCTTCCGACAAGAAAGGTTAATGGGGAAGCCAGATTCACTTAACAACCGTGTTACTAACTTAACAATAGCAGCGATTCACTTAACATCTGTGACATGAAAAGTCGTAAAATGGGGCAAAACAGCTGTCACTTAACAGCTGCCTTGTTTAGGAACAGAAATTGTTGGCTCCATTGTGGTTGTAAATCCAGGACTACCTGTAATATCTTGCAGTAGCCTGTGATCCCTTTCCATGTGTAACCTATAAATATGATGTGGACAGCTACAACGTTCTCTGGTACTTTCCTTATTGGCAGAAACTAAAACGTGCATCTGCTTCATATTTGGGCACATGGTAAATATTTAGTAATTTTGCACAATGCAATACACAGAGTATTTTTTTAGAAAAATGGGACAAACATAGTAGCATGCGTACTTTTTCCTTACCTATTGATATTCATACAGTATTCAGCGGCCCTGGCTGTATTGTGAAATTCTGATAAACTTATATTCAATTTATTATGGAGCAAAATATACAGCGATGGAGGTTTTTTTGCACATACATGCAAAAACAATTTCCTTTGCCCTTTATTAGGACTCTTCTTTTTCCATGTTCTTCGTCTCAAAGGAACTAGTTGTGACTCAGAGTTATGTCTCCCCCTTCATTTTTGGTTAGTCCTTATTGCACCGATACTGAAGAAAGACAGCTCTGGGAACATGTGTTCCCTCACAGATATTTC